TTTATGTATATTTATATTCATACTGTACTTTAAGAAATTCTATTGAGCTCTTTACAGTTAAGGATCCTTTAATGTGTTAAAAAACCTTATATATTAAAAAAACCGAAATATTGTTCGCACTTACTTGAATTTCTGGATTAGCATTTGTATTGAAACATATTTGTGCTGATGTAAGTATGACGGATAAATATCTCATTAAGTTAAACGAATTAAAACTAATTTTAATCATTTTTTAACTTATCTAAAAATTATTAATTTATACTGAAGTCTAACAAAGTAAAATGTATACCAGTGTTGACTTATACTGCCCGCTTTAAAATAAAATTGTATTAATTTTATTTAAAAAATTTTTCAATTGAATAAATAATATATTAAACCTTAAATATATCTTACTTTATTTGACTATAGATAAATCATATATAAAGCTATTAAATTATTATATATTTAGATTATAACAAAACAAATAACCTAAATAAAATGTGTTATATATTTAAAGATATTTTTTAATTCAGTTTGCTATATAGTTTGAAGGGGTTGCATCAATTTTTCGCTTACAATAAAAAATGAAAATTCTCTAAAAATATCAAATTTTTTGCTACTATGTATACAGAACTAAGGTAATAATTCGTTATACTTCCCAAAGATAGAAGTTTCCAGGAAACATAGCCTTCCGTAATGTGTTATAGAAACATTACTACATCTCAATACTAACTATTAATATTATGTTTTTCTATTTTATATGCAACCCCAGCTTTGATGGTTAAGGACATTTATAATTGTGGTCTAATTTGATTATATAAAAGCATTAGGATCCATAACCGCGTATTAAATCAAAATGAATCATATAATTTATTGTTTCGCAAGCTCATTTAATAACACACAGAACAAAATAAATAACAACTAAATTACATAAGGTCGACGTAAAGGATATAATTTAAACATAAAATATTAACTTCGTCTATTTATTGGCTGTTAGCAACACAATTAGAAAATATTAACTTCATAAATATTTAAATTCAGATATTATACACGCACAAAATTTTAAGTGACTATTTGTTGTTAATTTTTTAAACATCTAGAGTATAACCTTATGTATTTTTTTAGAAATTTAAGAATTTTAAAGAAAAAAAAAAGAGAGATATCGCCTCCGCACAGTTTTATGCCTTCTAAACTACAAATAGGAAGTTTGTTTGTAGAGTATTAACAAAAGTAAAAAACTGACATATATTTTATAAATATTCTAAACAAATTAAATTATTTTTAAATTTCTTTTTCATTTTAAGAGTATAATTATCAACAAGATATATTGTTAATAAGTTTTTGTCATAAATGTTATTTTAATAATAAATTTTGATATGTTGAAAGTTGCAATCACCAAATTTTAGAGTAATGAAAACAAATTTTATTGATATATTGTCGAATAAATAGCGGAAAAGATATTTTATTTTCTAATAATACAAATTCACTGTAACCTTGTATTATAAAAATTGACTCATTATGTCTTTCAAACGATTGATTAATTTAGAATTGAAATTTTTTTTTTTTTTTATTAGAAATATACAATCTGTACAATGAACAAAATAAGCATATATTATAAGAGTAGAAAAATTTACATGAATACATTTTGATGGAAGAAACCACTCATTAGAGACACTTCCCATGATTTTTTAAATTTTTTATTTTTTTAGAATTTTTATTTGTTACGGGAACAGTAGATGATGACACAAATAAGTAATACAGGTTGGTTTTCCAAGTGGCGTCGAGCCGTTTAATGAGAAAAACAAGAATTGTAACACAAAAGATTATATGCGAACCAATAATAACAATAATATTACTAAGAATCCGTCGATAGAATAACAAAAAGATGACCGAAATTGCGGTGGCGATTTGGTTGAGTTAACGGACGCTATAACCAATGAGATAGGTGTCACGAAGATGACTGACTGGACGTATTATTGCGGCGGGTATTCGACGTTAGGCATTTATTGGACTTTACACCACGGCGATAACGCGTGTGTGTAACGGTCCGGTTTACAGTGGAGCGGTGGCTGAGAAGGAGCTGATACGACCGTGGGGTGTCAAACGTGTGACAACGCCGTGGCCGTGTCATATTTTATATTTCCAATAACTTAATTATATTATTATTAATTGATATTAGTAAAAAGATCACGGCAACACTTACGTTTTAAACGTCTCGGTGGGTCACCAGGTATGACAAGGTTGAGTGGTTTTTTATTAAGGGATTAGAGTGGGAGAGTAATTTACTGTGGAATCTTTTATAGTAGGAGATAGCTTCTTAATGGACTGTTTTTAAGTTAAGGTCGTTATGAAGTGTATAATTAGAGATATAAGGAGGTGCATTGATTAGTTTTCTTAAGACAATATTCTGAAAACATTGAATATTATTGGTATTGGATTTTTTAGCTTTGCCCCATAACTGAAGGCCGTAAGTCCATATGGGTTTTAAAAGGGATTTATAAATTTGAAGTTTAACATTAATGTTTGTAAATTTATTGTTTATGATTAATGATTTGAGTAACCGCAGACGGCTATTTAAAGACGAGCGTTTAATTTTAATGTGCTGAGCCTACGTGAGCCGATTATCTAGTGTAAGTCCGAGATACTTGACAGAGGAAGAGTAGGGGATTTGTACTCCATATAGGGAGACGCCAGGACAAGGGAGAAGTCTTAAAGTAAAAGTAGTATGAACTGATTTTGATTGATTAATTTTAAATCGCCATTTTGTGTACCAATCCTCCATTAGGTGTATATGATTTTGCAAATTGACGGATGCAATCTGAGGGTCAGAGTTACAGGACAAGATAGCTTTTTCATCAGCATAATCTGCAACAATGGTTTTAGGAGTTATGGGTTGGTCTGAGGTATAGATATTAAAAAGGATTGGAGATAGGATACCTCCTTGTGGGACTTACGCATTAATAGAGGCTATATCAGATACTGAAGAACCATGACGGATTTGGAAAAAACGATCAGTTAAATAGGATTTACAAAACAGGTAGTAAGAAGGATGCAGACATTTTTATAATTTATATAGGAGGCCATCATGCCATACCCTATCAAAGGCCTGTGAGATGCCAAGAAACGCACTTTTTCAATATAATTTTTTTTCAAGCGAGTATGATATTACATCTACTACTCTATGGATTTGATGTATAGTGGAGTGAGAGGCCCTAAAACCAAATTGGGAATTAGGCAATATAATATGGTATTATTGACAGAGAGACAGCAAAGTATTCTTTTAAGTAATAATTTTTCAAAAATTTTTGCAAAGAACGGTAACAGACTTATTGGTCTAAACGATGTTGGGAGGTCAGGGGGTTTATTGGGTTTAGAAATTAATATGATAATCGAGAATTTCCATAATAGAGGGAAATAAGAAAGTCTAATAATTGCATTAAATATATGGGTTAAATGTATAATAGATTTTTTTGGAAGGCATTTTGCAACCTCAGCCGTTATAAGGTCAAAACCAGGGGATTTGTTGGAAGGGTAGCAATAGTGAATTTTACGTCATTTGGAGTAAAACATTTAACTGGAAGATAGAGCGGTAAAGGTGCATTAACGTATGTCATAACAGAACTAGTAATTTCAGGTGAGTATATATTCGGATGAGATTTAAAAGTTTCAGCTAGATGTTCTTTGAATAACTCTGCCTTTTCCAAATCAGAGATAGCTAGACTGCCGTTAGTTTTTTTAATTGGGAGATTAGTTGTTTTATATCTAAGAGCTTGTTTAGTAGCTCTCCACAGGCTACCCTCCTTAGATGTTAAGCTACATAAGTAATTTTTATAGGAGTTGGTTTTGTGTTGAGCAAGAATTTTTTTGAGTTTATTTGCTAACTTATTATATAAGTGATTATGTGACGGAAGTCTAGTGCGTTGGAATAAAGCTCTAGCTCTACGTTTGTCAGAAATTAGTTTTCTTATTAGCTCTGGTAAAACAACTGTTTAAAGATAAAGACAGCGAAGATAAGATTAAAGTGCATTAGTTATCGCCGGATGGATAACCGGTGTACACGTCAACCTAATTGTTTCAAATAACCGATATGATGTTTCAATAATCAGATTTATTTTCAATGTTCTAATATACGGCCGGTCCGTCCCGGGGCATTTTGTTTCAATAACGCGATTGTATCAATTATCCGTGTTTCTAATAAGCGGCTTCCACTGTATTTCCCTCCTTGAACTCGATCGGCGGGCCGTGATCCGCAAACCCCCTTCGTAATCTATTACCTATTTGATACGAGTAATCGGCCTCCTTTGTATTTGCATTGCCGATACCTTTTTCTACAAAGCGGTTGACCGTTATCATTACCGTATGTTTTTATCCTCTTAAACCTTACTTTTTCAACCGACACCTTGGGCATGCTACCGATTTCACCTGTTATTGNTTATCCCCTTAAACCTTACTTTTTCAACCGACACCTTGGGCATGCTACCGATTTCACCTGTTATTGTTCAACGCGACGTATGTGGCGCAGCCGGATACCCTTCCCGGAATCAGTTACCTACTTGGTAACCGGTTTTTGCCGCCCCTTCTCTAGATCNGTTTTTGCCGCACCTTCTCTAGATCGCGGAGCAAATCCTTGGTTTATATGCGGACGTACGTTCGAAACGTTTGGACTTCCTTTCCGAAATCACATCTATCCCACTTCGCTTTGAAGCCTTTTTACTAGAGCGCACGTGGGTTTGAATTTGTTGGGTTTACTCTGCTCGATGGGGTTGCCCTTTCTCCGTAATCACTTGCTACCAATCCCATTTTGCTTTTAAAACCTCTCTCTTTGTTAGAAATGATGGGCATTTCTAGTCGGGTGCTATAATAGTATAATCGCTATTATTATTATTATCATTTCTATTTTCTACTGCGTCCTTTA